TGCGTCCCGTTTAGGGAATGCCCGGAGGAGTTGGTTTTTTTTTCTTGCCATGTGGCTGAGTTTTCCCGTCTTTATTAAATTATAAATTTTTTTTTTACCTTTACGTGCCGTCGACTTCTTTGTCTGACTCTCCACCAGGCGTAGACCTATCGCCTTGCCACCGCTCGAACCTAAATACTTTATTTTTTTTACGCAATTTTCGTTAAGATCGGTGTTGGGCAATTTAATTCCTATTTATTTATTTTCATTTCCTACCCTCTCCATGACACACTCTCTGTGTGTTTCAGACCGTTTCTGTGTCACCACTTTTGTGTATTACGGAAGTGAAAGGACATTCCTGGTGACCTGTGCGATGAGCGGTAAACAAACCCCCAGTGTTTGGTTTCGGAAAGAATTGTATATAATATATCGACGATGTGGGGACTTTCTTTGTTTTAGTAATATGACAGCTAATAGCTAGTCGTGCTAGTTTACTGTGAAAGGTTTATAAATCGAAACAATACAACGTCTGTGCCTTTTGGTCATTGAAAGTCTACTAGGCCTGCTGATTTGGTTAGATCTGTATCTCGTGGTTCCCGCTCTTTTCAAAACATACATAAATATTCAATAAAACAAAATCCGTTTATAATTGATTACAAAATGCAGAAGAAAATTCAAGAAAACTTTTTCACAATTCATAGAGACGCATGGGTCGCTATGTCTGACTTAGGTCTTGTAGAACAAAGACGTCTTTTTCCGATATTGAGGCCTAAATATAAAACATACAAAGAAAATATACACTTTCTAGGCCTGATTTTCGTGTAGACAACTATCATATCTACATTTGAACAAAAAATGAAAAAAATAAAAAAATGTTTTTTTTTAGAAAATCAATTTCAAAAATGGTACTTTTTGGTTTTTGCATAATATTAACGTAAACGTACCGCAAAGGCTATTTTATACAGCCGAGTCATTTTATAATAAATACAAAGAGCGTGTTTTGGGCTCTCCGTGGACATAACAAATATCAATGTAACGCATATAGATCGCCAGTAATAAATTGTCAACGTCCGTCAACAATTGACCGAAGAGGCGTTTTGGACATTTTTACAGAAAAAAAGCAAAACGCCTAAAATTATCTCATGGTATTGGAGCCTTTTAAATGTGTCCACAGAGTGCTTGAAAAAAGATAATATAATGTGGACTGAAAATCCATGGCGGGAGATCAAGCGAAACATCTGATCCACGACGGGTGTGAAAAATACTGCTTTTCGCCGCGGCCTTTTAAAAAAATTCATAAGTCGAGAACAAAAAATCCGACGAACTTGCGGTTTGAGGCGACTGCGGTTTTAGAAACGGCGCCATAACATATATTTTTTTCATTAAAATTAAAAATTCAACCATTTTTGCCTGCACGATTTGAGATGAAACCACCCATATATATATACATGTTGTAAAATTATCCCACAGCCAAATAAGCGCTCTGTTCATTTGATTTTCTTCTTTGTTTAACCACACTATACTATGTGCTCTGTCGCAGCTGTTGAATGGGGGGCCCGGAGCCTCATCAAAGTGCACTTCTCCGGGGTTTTTTCGACCTCCGATTCACTTATATTTCTGGGGAAATATAAAGGTCGTATCGTATATAGGTATTACGAACATTCCAAGTCAGTCCTGTAAATAATTTTACCCTACCGTCCTTAAGCCCTCGTTAGCAATCATAAATTATTCGTTATCAGCACAGTTTTCATTCTGGAGCATCCGGTAGCACTATATTTGTCAACTTTTCTTAGTTTCTTGCTGGGGCAATTGATGCTGGTAACTGTTAAAATTGCTTTTTTTATAAAGGAGGTTGACTTTGTAAACCATGACATTAATTAAATTAGACTCATTGTCATTCGATAATAACATATTAGAAAGTATTTTGACAAAATGCGTCGCAAGACAGAGATAAAGTAAGGGAGACAACACGAAGCGTAGCGCTTCGTGTTGTCTCCCTTATTTTGTTCGTGTCTTGCGGCGCATTTTGCCAAAAGAGATCATGTACCAACTGGCCCATCTGTCACTATTGATGTACTTTGGGATGGCTGAGCGACTGCCTTAGCGAGCAAAAGCAATCTGTTATATTAGAAAGAGAGAAGCCTTAAATATGCATGTAACAGTTATTTTGTGCTCCCCAGGGCTATGTTTTGAGGTCTTTTGATTGTGTTGATTTACTAAAACGATAATATTGATGGCATAATAACGAATATGAGACTTTCTGCAGATGACTTCACAATTTATAGATTCATTGAAGATGTTAACAATATCATCTTTTGTCATAGTGATCTAGACAACATCTCGTGATGGCGTGACAACTGGACAAAAACTTAAAGGGGCACTGACACATCAATTTCTTTTTTTTTATTATCCGAAACGATGAAAACGATGCCGGGACATGACCCTCGAAATTCGAAATTTGGGAATTCAGTATTTCTGAAGTAAAAAAACAATTTCCAAATGCCGAATTCGAAGTTCCCGCGCGATCCGCGCCTGCGCGTTGACGTCAAATATTGCGGAGCCCTAAGAGTCCACTTTCTTTCACGACTCCCTCCTCTTGCCATAGCCACCCAAAACGAGGAGGAAAGGAGTGAGCGCCGGCGGACCGGTTTTGAGCGGTGTGGCCTGTTTTCCGTGGGAGGATACAAATCCAGGAGGCGGCACCACAACAGACTCGGATTTTTGGTACTTCAAAAAGAAGAGCCGTAGTGCACTCGCAATTGCGTTAAAAAACATGTTTTACGATTGCCGTAATTAAATGTTACAGAAATGTCACCTACAAAGCTTCTAAATTTCATGATTCTTGACGTCACGACTCAAAAGAAGCGAGAAGGCGAGAAGCGGGAGAATCAAACGCCAAAAATAAAAAGGCGCGGGCGCGCGGGCAATTTTTTTTCGCGATGCGTTTTTTTGCTTTTGCGGACTGCAACTGGCATCCTTTTAGACAATAAAAAATACAACCTTTGGGGTGTCAGTGCCCCTTTAAAAGTTAAAGTGAATAAACAAGAATACTACTGAGAAAAAATAGTGTTCCTTCTTCCTACAAGTGAGGTTAGCTCAAATGTAATAAGTTATTTGATATAGTGTTAAGCTATACAGTGAAAATGTGGAAGAGTCACGTTGAAATGATAGCTTTAAATGTTATTCACGTACTTTACTTTATATGTCGCAATTTTGGACATGGTTCAAGCCAAGCTAAAAAAATAAAACTTTATAATTTACATTTATGCTTTTATATATTAAATAGCCTTCGGTTGTCCGGGACCCCCGCCATGATTATTTATTATATAAACTTTAAGAAGTTCAACACCAGATTGTTAGGTTAGTATTAAATATTTACCAATTTGGGAGAGAGTACTAATTGTGCGTGAACATCACTTAGAAAATTAAGAAAATATTTTAGATGCAAATTACATATAACATATATAACAATAATCTGTTCATGAATAGGGATACATTATAGGCACCATTTCACATGCCAGGAAGAGTGGATCCCCTAAACAAAATTTTACCCTACTCATATAAGTGTTATGCTGTGTCGCCCCCCCCCCCCCCCCCCCCTCCGAGAACTATCAATGAGTGAAATATAGGCAGCGAAAGGAAGGGTTATTGACAGATTTGCAAAAGTGTCATGGTATAGTTCTTAAACATGATTTTGTTTAATAGTTATTTCAGTCTTCCAGTCGTATTGACACAAAATGCTGTTTGCGTTCCAGTTTCTTTAGGGATAATGGCTCGTTTTCTTGATTTCGAATTATATATTTTTCTTGAATTTGTTAAATTAAAGCCGGCCTAGCAAAGGTATTTTATCTTATTGTTAAATAAAATACTAAAAAAGTGTATTTTCTCTGAGGGCGTAGGAGTTGTATGTGCTTCACAAACTTGTATTCGAGTCTTCTCCCATACTTCTGTACATTTTAAACTTTACTGCTACAAACACGAAATATAAAGCAGTACATAAAAGGCTCCATAGCTGTTTTTGGCACTAAAGAAGAAAAAAAAGAAGAAAATTAAGCATTCTTGTTGTCACGGTTCAGGGTCCAACCGTTGGAGAAAAAATGAGTGCACAACGATGGAAGGAATGGAGCTATATTACACAAAGGAAGACGAAGGAAGAGCACTAAGAGCCTAATGTACAAATGTACAAAAGTTATCAATAGTCTCACGTATTCGTATTCACTCAACAATCTGGTGCTCGTTTTGGGGTGCTGATGGTACAGCCCAGATCGGTCAGGTCGGTTTGCCTCTTGAAATACCCGGTGGTGGTCTCTGTTCGTGTCACTGCCGAGATTCGCTGCCACTGGTTTTGGTCACCATCGAATTTGTCAGTTGTAGGTTCACTGGCACCCTTGTGGTTGCTCGGGTCGCTGCGGAGAGTCCACGCCAGCGTAGCGTCAATGTCGATGTCTCTTTTCCTCTTATTCAGTGGTCGCCGAGCCATCCCCGGGTCGTCGCCGGGTTCCTTTCAGTGTCTTCGGGGCACCATCAAGAAGCTGCGCCACTCTTCGGGTCGTCGCCGAAATCTGGGCTCCGCTGCTTCAGATGATTCTTTTTTCCTCCCACCTCTTGTCTGCTTCTTTCAACTTGATCCCTAGGACTAGCACTCCAAACGGCGATGGCACCGGCGGCAGTCTGGGCGGCAGGATGGAGTGTCGCCAGTCGCTGGTGCACTTGCCTCGGAGCGATGCCAAGATCCAATTCCTCTGCCGAATGGCCGCCTGCCGTTCTTGGATGCTCGCGCTTCTCTCTTCTTCTTCGTCGTGAAACGTGACACTTGTTGTCTTTACAAATAACGACTTTCTTGTATATTAAATATGTTTGTTAAACTCATTAAAAACACCCCTCGAATAATGCCTAGCGGCAATGCAGTTTTTGTAACTAAAAAGAAAACAAATTATTATAAGTCAATTGATTAAAATGAATTCCGCAATTAGCCACGAAAAGAAAGATGTTCCTTAGAAAATATAATTTGTTCAACTAACCTGTTTGAAGGATAGCGGCGAGAAACCTCCTTTCAGAAATCCTGAGGCATTCAAGGTGAATGCAAGCTCCTCTTGACTGAAACTAAACGATTTTGGCATGGCAGGAATAGTATGAAGGTTCGTGTGGTTTTTGCAATACATGGATTGAGGCACCTAAAATGAAGATAGAGCTTAAAGAAACTAGTCGCTTTTATGTGGCTCATTTCTAATTATGCTTAGCAATTTTACGGGGTTTTAAAGGGGTAGTGAAACGAAATTTTAGCGCCGATCTTGTTGCATAAATATGGGCTAGGGACAGGCACCACCTCGGAAATATAAATATTGCGCTGTAAAACACAGGAGAACTAATTTTAAACATAATTAAACGATTTCAAATTCTCATCTGGTGGATGGGGGGAAGTTCTCGTGACATCACTTGTGCCAAAATAGCAGCGCCGTTCTGCGGCAATACGGCGTGCCGGCAGAATTCGCCTAGGCCTGAACGCGTTTGCAAAGCCTTGGCGGAGGAAGCCAAAGCGTAGTTGGCCACAGTGAGCTCGTTCTCGTTGCGGCTCTTTGCAGGAAACGGCCCGAGCATGCTAATGGCACGGCCGGTATTAGTTGCTGCGAGTCGCGAGCTGCAAGCCGACGTTAAAAAGGATATGTTTGAACTACGAGGGTGTCAGCAAGAGCCACGCAAATGCCAAATACCTGTTCACACTCGGAGCGGACGCGCGCGTTTGATCGAAGTGCTGGATTCGCTCTTAGACCGCGTTTCGGTAAGCGCTTCTGGACCGATCTTTTACGATTGCAACTCGATACTGACATGACACTCGGCAAAGAAAGGTTAGACCGACATCGCGTAGCTCCCACGAACTGCTATAGCTCGACACTGACGTAGCGTCGAGTCAGAATAAAAATGGCATACTAATAACAGAGTGTACATACCGAGTTGCCAAGGTAATCCGTATGGCGTTTATTTGAGTTCTATATCACACAAAACAAGGAGATAGAATCAATGAGAGTCCCTTTTCGACGACAGCGTTCGTCACCGCTGTCTCGGAAAACAAGGAGATCGAGATGACAAGGGGGAAATATTGACCTCTGAAATTTAGTTCAGGGATCAAACTACTCATCCGGTAAGGGTCCACAAGGGTCGCGCGGGCATATTCCATTCAGCAGGCCAGCCGGTCATGGACAGACGGTCTTGGCCAAGGACCGCCGGAGCAACGGTGCGCCGAGTCAATGTTGCTGCTAGGCCTACTATATTCTGCCGAGCTCGCTCGGTCGGCAGAATCGTGGCTGTTGTAGCTCTTCTCGTGTGTTTGTGGATCCTGCGTTCTTGATCGTCGTGGTCTGTTTTAAGTACTCCTTCCTTTTTTCTTGCTGGTTGAAGTCGGGACGCACGAGAAGAGCACGAAGAAAAATAAATGTCCGTTGGTGGCCGATACCAAGTAACTGAGCGACGCTGTCGGCCTTGTTGATTTGATCGTAAAAAGTGCGTAAGACAGCTTCGGAGCTGTCGTAGGATTCTGTCGTAACCTGCGCAAAGGTTACGACAATTTCGTTTCGAGAGCACGGGTTTTCTCTCAAATTTGTCGTACGCACTTTTTTCGTCGTGAATTCGCTTTGAGAATCCGGCCTCAGAGCTGGTTTTGTCAGTGCTGCCGTGGTTGCCGACTTGCCGTGGTGCAGCGTGCGTGCAGCCCTTGCGCATCTCAAACGGCGACGTTGTCACAGGTCGTAAATCGTCGACGCGCCACCAAGTGGCAACGCTCGTAACCACAACATTCACGCCGTAGCCTTTCCCGACCGGCACAAGTGACGTCACGAATGCGCCCAATATCCCAAGACGCATCGCGCTCTCCGATGGCCGATTTTTGAGCGCGCGCCCAATCGGGCCCATCAGGGTGAAAAATATAGCCATCCGTTCAAAATACAAACGCGCGATTATGATTTATGAATATCATTGATCATATTGAACCTATTTCTGACCATAATAGGTGTATTTCAAGTTTCGCTTCAGTATCCCTTTAATTTTAGGTACATAAAAAGTAAATCCCACCATACTTTTATCAACAAAACTATTTATTTGTTTATAAGTTAAAACAATTTCCCTAGGCTTTTTTTCTACAGTGCTTTAAACGTTCATGGAGAAAATTATTAGGTGACAGACCTGTACAAACCTCAAACAGTGAGGCAATCACCAAGCCAATTATCCTATACAGTGATGTCTCGTTAACATAGACACCTCCGCCCCCCCCCCCCCCCCCCCCCACACACACACACACACTTTCAAGAACAAGTCGTTCATAATCTGAGTTGTCCGTATTAACGAGACAAAATGCATGATTTTTCCCAGTTTGACCTCGAAAATGGTGTCTATATAGCTGGATATCCATAATAAATGGGTTCATATTAAGAAGACATGACTGTATTTCGCTTTAACACTCAGTACACATTGAGAATCACTGCTGTTGACTTACAATCAGCGGATCTTTATGGGTGGCTTAAGACATATTTTTCTAGAACAAATGATTACATCAGTACGTAGGTAATCCCACTGTCCGCAGTTAGGTGATTACTCTTCGCAATTTTTATTGCGACTTCTGTGAATATGAAGTTATTTATTGCTTATGTAATTGAAGATCAATGATGTTCTGGTGTTGAAAATTATTTTTGTTAAATTTATCAAAGATCGGATTATTCAGACACCTCAGTCAAGTTTTACTAATACTCTTCTAAAATAAGTTTCGTATTTTTATTGGTGTATTTTTACTTCTTTTCTGTTTAGTTCTTTATGGCCGTTGCTAGCGTACTAGGAACTTAAAATAATTTTCTATGCCTGTTTTCACCTCAAGAACCGAAGTAAATCAAGTCCGGCTCCTCGCGGAGCATTACTAATTTCCCACTTCTTGAGGATAATTAAGACATATGTAGGTGAATTTTAGATTATATATATATATATATATGTTATATTATCAAGACGCACACGTTCCAAACGTCAAAAGCATCGCTTTCTCCTCCGGCAACCAAATCGCGTAAGAACTACTTTGTGGGGCATATGAACAATGCGCAAAACTTGCTTTTTTCTTGAGGTGAAAAAGGGTATATTTAATTTTTGCTTTTTATGTTCTATATTTGTTGGGTTTATGATCATTTACCGTGACATAACTATATGGCTTTTATGAAAAATATGATTTCTATCACTCCCGGGCCGGTGTGCATGCCCAAGTGTGGAAAACACAATGAAAGAAATAAATTATTAAATATTCGGTTTCTCGAAGTTCAGTCTCGTTAAGATGCTGTGGTTAACGCTGCGGCAGATTGCCGCAGCGTTTCCTGTTGGCTTATGTTTTGTTACAGCACCGATGTATAAACTCCGAATTTACGCCAAAATTATTTCGTGCACGATATTCATTTAAAAGTTATCTGTCCATAGCAGAGAACACTAGTTTGGTTTGAGTGCACTGTTTAGTGGAGTGAGTGAAAGGGAATGACTTTTACGACTACTATACTATATATGCCATTAATTCATGTGTGCTGCTCGGAATTACTTCGGTTTCACATTTCAGCGGACGCAAATAGCTAGCGCACTTTCTTCTATATATTTCTAAATTATGTTACAGCACATTTATACGACAAAATTGAATTGAATTATTGCGTTTTCAGGGAAGCTAGATTTATTAAAGAAAATTCCTCATTTCCGCGAGGTCGGGAAGTATTTTGCTGGCGAACAAAAAAAAAAAAACATATTACTAAGTAACTTAAAAGTATTGTCGCAGTCAGTTTACCTGAAACATATCGTCTGAAAATGGCGGATTTTTTTGGTACCAAGGGATATTCTTTAAAATGTGGTGTTCATGCTTTGTTTTATTCTCATAGTATTCTCCTTGTTGCTCGACATGAACAGGCATTTTCTCTTCGCCACTTGGAAATCTAAAAGAAAGATCTGGAATTATTGTTTTAGGGTGTTACTTTTTTATTTTTGGATGGACAGAAAGTACAAAAATTGAAAAAGCGTGTGAATAAACCGTTAATTTCTAATGCAACATCGAAAGGTCCTGAAAAATGTTTTGAATGTTGGGGATCTACCTCCAAACTGAACATGTTTATGTTTGAACGCCTCCACGTTATAAACTCGTGAGTTGTTCATGAGTTCGAAATTCCGGACGGCATTTTAAACTCATGAGCAATTGGTAATTGATGGGAAGCAGCTCCTTGTAATGCCCTATACATTGAGTAATATTTGAAGCGTCGTATTAAATTACAACGTTTACGACAAAAATGTGTAAGTGGTTCATATGATGCGATGTCCGTGATCGAGGTCTACAATTTCAATAATAGGCATAATAATAGTAATAATAGGACCGACTAGTGTAGTTGTTGCTCAATATTATCAGATATTGTCTTTTTTAAGTAACCTGGTACACTTCAGTATATTGCTAACTATCTGCTATTCTTCTATCGCGCATTAATAAAGGAGCAAATGTTAATAAATGAGGCCTGCAAATGCAGCTAGAAGAGTATATCATGGATACACAGTTCACTAATATTTGCAAAGACCTTTATTGGTACTCTGAAAAATCTCGTTCGCTTACTTTACCATATTTGTAGTTCTAAATTAATGTATGCGAAGTGGCATTGAGCACGAAGTAGGCATGTCACACGCCATGCTTACCGAGATAATGTAGACTTTAATTTTAGTTAAAAGATTTTCGGCTCCGTCATTTGCCTCGCTCCCCAGTAATCAGAATGTTCGGCAGGAAAGCAAACGCACAGAAATATTGCTTGGGTTATTTGAATATTATATTCTAACCTAGAGTAATTCGTACATATTATTTTTAAATTTTAAACGTTACCACTTTAAGCATCCATCAGTATATCACAAGTTAATAAAATATCAAATTTAATCTTGCGAGAACTCTAAAAATGACAAAGAACATAGTTAAAGTTTATTAAATTACTAAACAGTACATAAAATTTGGGGAGTAGCTTTCGTCTCAAAATGTATATTATGAAAAGGTAGCGGGTGCACATGTATCCCCTCCTAACCGATACTCTGAATAAATACCGTTATATTTTTTTATCATGAATATTGTGACGGCGAGCCAGTAGCTTTTTTGAGTCTTGGGACTTCCGAATAAAATAACGTTTGTTATGTTTGGTAAAATTTCACACGCATATGTGCAAGTATAATAGACTACAAATTGTATAAGAGCTTACCTTCACCCCAGTAATAGTAGGACTCGTATGTGCCATTTATAAATGGATCCTCGATACAAGCAGTATAGAGTTTGTGTTTGATATTTCGGGTTTCTGATGCAGTAAGTTCACTTTTAAGTTTGTAAGAATGCGATGGGCCATATCTTAGAACTTCATTGGCAGTGGGCATGTCGCATGACGTCGAGGATTTTGTCGAACAGGGAAAACGCAAATGAAGGTATTTTGATTTGAACGTCTTCAAGTCATAAATGCCGCACTCCACCTGAGTTTTAACATCCGAGCCGCTGGTAGCTGTAAGTATTAAAAAAAACTGCTGAACCCCATTCAGACACTTTGATATTGTACTTTGTACAGTATGACTCATTTGAAGGTGTTTTGGCTCTTATAACACAGTTTGAGACATTATCTACGTGGTGTCCTTGTTATGCAAAATGTATCTGAGCCTGATTAATCACAAAATTTCTGCGTCCTTCGAGTATTGCTCAAGTCTTAAAGTCCGTCTTAGGAGATTTCAAAATGAAAAACTCGAAAAATACGTCTTCAAATTCGTTCTAGCCAAAAGTTCATCAATAATGTATATTAGCTGAAAGTTTCATAAATCATGACACAATTTTGCGCAATCTAAATTAAATCACAAAAATTCATAAAAATCAAGCTCGCCAACTACCTGCCACATATAAAATGTACTCTTCCAATCCAGCATCCTATCACTCAACAAAAGACCTGGTCTTCCTCTTTAAACCAACAGTCATCCTCAAAAAACAATTAAAACGATTCAAATCAACACTATTTGCTCCCTTTGTTAAAAATTGGGTGCTCAATTCTAAACCAAGAAATGCCCACAAAAGGCACACAAAAAGAACCCCAAAAAACTCAGCTCTATTTGAAACTAGTACGTCTTTGCGGACCAACTTTCAAGATGACAATCATCTGCAAACTTCCCTTTCTACTTTGGTTGCTTCAAATTATTTAACTCACTCCCAGGTTGTTTTTTTGTGGAAAATTGTTACCTTTAAAATAAAAACTTTCTTCTCAGGCGGAAATGATCGGTCTTCCCTGAATTTAGCTGCATTTCCCACAGTATTCCCTAGCTGTCGATGCTGGAAAAACAAGTATAATCTAATATTTGACCCTTTTACCTACAGAGACAATGTACAATCGTTTGCGAATACTTGGATATTCACACTGGAGCTCACAACTTAGATATGATTTATACAAGCTAAAAAACGAACCAAGAATACCATCCTGGCGAACAATAGAAGAAAACCCCAGGGCAGCGGTGGCAAGACCACAATTATAAGCAAACTGTCTTCGATCGTACAAGGACGACCCTGTCAAGCTAACCATCTCAAATAATCCCAACACGCCCTAGTTAAAAAACAAGCTTACCGCATAAAGACATGCCAATTGCTTTAAAAAAATCAAGGAAAATAACATCTGCCTATCCGGTTTTGTCAAAATTGGTTGCAGAGTCATGAACTATTTTTACAGCTTGCATTGTGGTAAAGAAACCCCTCTGAAACTTTGTACCGAAAAGGCGTTAACAAAGTTATACTCTCGGATATAATTAGCCACATGTTTTATTAGCTTACATATAGAGATTGTGATATATACTACATGAACGTAATTGCTAACCACTAAACGATCACCGTAAAAGCCATCGAACAAAATCTAATTTAGAACGTGGATTAGCTTTTTCCTGAAGTAGTCTGTTTGCTTGGAAAGTAATTTCTTTAAAAAGGTCTATAAAATTCCACAAAAACGGTTGCGAGAATAATTGAACATTTTTGACCTTACTAAAATGTTATCAAGATGCGTAATATGAAACAATATAAAAGGTCCATTGGCGGAAAGCAGACATTGATCCAAGCAACGCGGACATGTCCAGTGCGAATTCTACACGGCCTTCTGAAACTGCACCGTCATATGGGTTTTCATATTGTTGAAGACTGTATAGTTGTCGGCAAAGCCACAAAGTCATTGTAGCGTGCATACTAGGTTATGCGGGCAAGTCATTCAAGTGGCGAAAGTAACCAATTAATCCGATTGTCGGCCGGTTGCGAGATCAGCGGCTACCAATATTCAGTCATCAGCAGCAAAGCTGAACACAGCGCTCTAAAGAATGGCAAGGTTAAACAGTTGGATATCCTACATGCTATCCACTTGCCGGTGACATAATGCGCGTGCGTATTTCAAGACCGCGTCCTCCTATGGATTCATTGGCCCGTTCAAGAACCGTACGTCTTTGTGCAATACGAGTGACGTTCTTGCCAAAAAACCTCGGTTCATATTTCTGAGATTACTTCTAAATCCGAGCCTCACCCTCCTTGATAGGAACTTGAAGTTTTTAAAGTTTCTTTTGGCTTCCAGTCGACCAAATATAGCCACACAAAAAACCCCAAACTTGTCACGCATAGGGCCTTTACAAAAGTAATACTTAGATTATAAAGGCATTCACGGTGTTAAATATCGGCTAAAGTCTCGTAAACCTATCGAATCAGGATTCGTTGTTAACCCAGCGGCCAGCAGCTTCCGTCTTCCGGAGAGGCATCCAGGGTTCACATCTGAGCTACATGCGATATGCGTTTGATTAAGCAGATCTTTCCCAAAAACAGTTGTTTTCACGGGTCTCGTTTCGTTGCTTGCGGGTTGTGATGTATCCGACTAGGATACATCACTACAGGATGTATCCGACTACGAATAAGGATCACAGGTTGTATCCGACTAGGATACATCACTACAGGATGTATCGGACTTCGAATAAGGATCACAGGTTGTATCCGACTAGGAATAAAAGGAATGCAACGGTAGTTTATCCTCATGTTACCGGAAAACAATAACAAGATTTCAATCTGACCTCAAATTACGCTTTTTAAGGGAGGCTTGTTAAAATATCAGGGGCCGAGGAAATCGGGCATCTCCGAAAGTTCTCATTTCGATCACTTCTTGCTCACGTTCCGCCCATTGAAAGGCACGGTCAAAAAGCTGAAGCACGCACGTTATCTCGCCGCATCTATGTGCTTCTGCACGATAAAATTTGTCTGCTATGATCACCGTCACCATGGAAACGAAGCACATACGGAATGGACGAAATAAAACTCTGATGCCAGCAGCAGCCGACGGACTTTTAATGCGAAAGCCTGTCCCATAAAGCGAGTCGACGTCATCAGCTTTGAAACCACGCCAAACGGCACCTGAAATCCTTTCTCCGAGTGAAGCCAGCTCCCAGCTATCAAACCACGCGAAAAGCCTAGAAAACGGCACCTAGTTTCCCCGAACCCAAAGGAGCGGAATAAAGGTGATGGAATTCGATATCAGTCCCATTGGCTGGCGCGCGTCGACGAGATCCCTATTGGCCACTGCGCGTCAGTTTCAACGACCACCACCCCATAGCGCTGCGTGTCCGCGAGGCAGCGGCTCCACTGTTCCACGCGCAAGGTCAGCGCGCTCGCGCTCGAACGTCGACGAAAGAAGGGAGCGGAAGAGCGGCGTGCATGCCTACGTATTCAAAACTCATAAGAAGCGCTTAGGTGTACCTCGAAGCTTTTTTGAATAACGTCTACTAAAGTCAACGCCTTAACGATAGTCAAATCCGGACGGGCCGCAACATTAGCAAGTTTTAGGAGACCGCTTTCGTGCGCCACCTCAACTCTAAGAAGCGGCTCAATTGCCAGTGCGCATGCGCGGCCGCTCTGAGCTTAAAGGGACCATGAAACGATTTTGAAATCGAATTTCATCCACCACACGTCGTAAAAGGTGTGAAAATAAACACAAAAACACAGAAATAGGGAGCCAAAAAAAATGTCTCTGCTATAGAACTTTTAAAAGAAAACAGGACTCTTTTGCGCCTTCTTTCCATCGAAAGCTCTCTGCCTATTCACTGCTATTCATCCGCGGAACTGCAGTACGTCAGCCGGATCCACGGCGCCTATTGGGTAAGCGCCTACCTCACCAGCACCGCGATCATAAACAATAAATAGCCGGCAAATGTTTCCTAAAAAAATTGTTAAATAATATTCAGATCCACATTTTGTAGCATAATTAGAGATGCGTGGCGAAAATTGCCAAACTTGATAATGCTTGAGAGCCAAGCGCCATCTATCGTGTGGTAAATGAAGCTGAGAGCCAGCTCCGGAGTTGTCTTCAGCACTTTTTACGATCAAATCAGCATGGCTGCCAGCACTGATCTTTATTGTAGTAGGCTGGATCGCGGACCGCGGCCTCGGCAGCTGGGGCCGAGTGTCGCTACTGGCGGCCATTGATTGACACCAGCCAATGCATGGGACTCTATGGGAAGAACGAGAAAAAGTGACGTTTTCCCCTGTTTCTAAGCCGTTGTCGGCACTGAAACTTTTTGCATGCTTTTCGATAAGTCTGTCAAATAGCTTGCGTACAAACATTAAAATTGACAGCCCTCGCAGTTCTTATAAATAAATATTTTGTGGTCGAGAGTGACTCCGCTGTAGCGCAGCTCAATGAGGCGAGAGTTACCTAGAGTTACCGTGGAGTCAGTGGCGGTTTTGTTGAGTTGGGTTTGGCAGACGACAAGCTCGAAGGCTTTCCTACGCGGAATTCGCTCAGTCCCGGAAAGCCTCTGTCGAGATGGAACTTCTTTGTCATTTATCGACTTCTGGCCTTCCCCGAGGACAGTCTCATTGACGGCAAGTTCCTTTGTTTACTCCACTACGAGAGCAAGCGTGCCAGCTCAGCCAGGCTCAGCCGTAGGTGATCCAGTACGTTTGATTTTTTTATTCGGCGACCGGAGTTTTGACAAATACCGATTCGATCTCCAAACACCCGACATAAGGATCGCAGCGCATCATAAAATACTCGCCTCCGAGCACAGCCTACATGCTGCAATATGCTTACTTTTGTGCGTTTCTGCCATAGACTTGCGTGTATTGCCTGGTGTCAAGCAATGGCCGCCGGTGGCGACACCGACGGGCTCCCAATCCGCGATCCAGCCTACTAAAATAGAGATCAGTGGCTGCCAGCGTCGCTTAGGAGCGACGACCAACGAACGTTTATTTTTCTTTGTGTTCTTCTCGCACGTCCCGACTTCAAGCAGCAAGAAAAAAGCACTTGAAACAGACCGCGACAAGCAGGAACGTACGCTGGATCCACAAACATCCGAGAAAAGCTACGACGGTCACGAATCCTCCGACCAAGCGAGCTGCGCAGAATATAGGCCTAGCAGGCACTCCGACTCGGCGCAGCGTTGCTTCGACGGTACTCGGCCAAGACAGTCTGCCCACGACCGGCTGGCGTGCTGAATGGAATATGCCCGCGCGATCCTTGTGGACCCTTCCCGTATTATAGTTTGATCGCTCACCTCAATTTTAGATTAACAGGTGAGGTCAATCTCTTCCCCTTATCATCTCCTTGTTTTCCGAGGCAGTGTTGACGAACACTGTTGTCGAAAAGGGACTGTCGTCGATTCTATCTTCTTGTTTTGTGTGATATAGAGCTCAAATAAACGCCGTATGGATTACCTTCGTAACACGGTATGTACACTCTGTTATTAGTATGCCATTTTGATTCTGACACGGCGGCACGTCACTAGTTCATGGGAGCTACGTGCAATGCCGGTCCAACCTTCCTTTGCCAAATGTCACGTCAGGATCGAGTTGCAATTGTAGAAGATCGGTCCCGAAACGCTTACCAACAGCGCGAATACAGCACTTCCATCAAACGCGCGCGTCCGCTACGAGTGTGAACAGGTATTTACGTGGCTCTTGCTGACACTGTCGTAGTTCAAACGTATGTTTTTTTAACGCCGGCTTGCTCCTGCATCTCGGGGGCCGCGAAAAACGCCGCGGCAATTCGATTCCATCTACGTCGCTTTGCAAACGACTGACACGGGCCGCCTTTTACCAACAATAAGAGTTGGGTTGAGTTCTGGAGTCTTCACCGGAAGACTCGCCGCACTTTCCAACAGGCATACCGGTGTATGGGACTAGTCCCATGCTGTCGCTGTAGCGCAACATATATTGTGGAATTTCGTTCAGCTGCAATGTGTCCATGGCATCGCGGCGATGAGAGGCGCCGATTCAAAAAATACGTCGGTGCCTTCAGCGCAGTAAAGCTACCGGCGCACCCCCAACTGGCCGCCGCTAACCCTCCAATTCTTCTAACGCAGAGAGAACTTCCGTTCCCTGTCCTAGAGCACGTCACGACCGTCAAAATTACGCCGCAGCTTGTTTTGAGGTCAGTTGGAGAGAAAGAAAAAGTTGACATTGCATTAATTTTTTGTGTAGAAGTTAATAAACCGAGACGAAAACGGATGCCTGTTCGGCATTCAGTGAACGTTGAAGGTTTAATGTAAAAGTTATCTGGCAAAAGGAAAATGTCATTGCATATTCCCTTTAAGCGGAGCCGGCTGCGCTCGCACAGTTGGGCGGGCTTGGAACGGATCGGAAAGTGAAAACGATCCACGAAAACTCCTTACTGACGGTGAGGACGGTCGATGCCAACAGTGACTAAATGGTGTTGATGCCGGTGGATTGTAATAAATCGAACCTCTGGCGTGCTGTCTTCACCTTCCCGTGATATGGAAACCGAACCCTTGGCGGTTCCGATGAGGCTTGTCGCGAGCTCGAGCCTCAGCCTTATAAACTATTTTCATAGGGCAAAGCAAAGCGAGAGGTTTCTGCGCGTCGTGGTCTGTTTGGAATCCTCTGCTATTCGTGAAAGTTCAGAAGACGATATTTAGAAAAGGGCTTGTTGCTGGCTTCAGGCTCTGCGTTCGCTTATACGTCCACTCAGCAGATGCTTCGTTGCCATTGCGATGGTGACCGAAACAGGCTGATTATATGGGGCGCAAGGACACGGCGGTGTGTCGGGATCTAGTGCGTGCTTACACTCTTTCGCCTTGCTTTTTAGTGGGCATAATACATATAAAAAAAAGTACAGAACAAGTACTTAACGCTGTTCACTTATTTTATCTATCGCCTAATATTTTGGTGAGCATTGCTCAAACAGCATGCCTTTTGGTCATCCGGCGGCCGGTTGTTTTTCCGGGAGCATGGGTCTGAAGATTCAAACTGCCATGAACATTTTTAAAATAATTATTGTTATATCGCCCATCTACAGTGACGTTGTGTTGGATCGTATATGTCATGGGGGTACAGCTAGCAATTAAGAAGCCGAAGATGCAACTTTATTATGGTTCGTATCCACTGCTGATTTCCCACCCACTTTCGTTTTCTTTTTAGGGAAGAAGTGACAGCTCCACTGTAACTGGTTCCTCGACAACAAGCGATTTTACATTCAACCCACTGTTTACACTTGGCATAAGCTTATACTTTTCTGTGCCGCCGTCGCTGTAAATACGTTTCGTATCAGTTGCACTCGTTCAACTTATTCTTACAGACTTCTGGGTCAGGATCAGTTCGAATAACACGTCTGTCGTACCTTTTCAATTGTCAGTAGCATATTGTCAAGTCTAAAAAATAAAGCCTTTCACAAACCCTCGTTAAAAATGCTCGTCATTTGCAAAATTAGGTTTTATTTATGCTGTTTTCGAGAAATTACCCTTTCATTTCTGAAGCAAGCATGTTGATTGTACGTTTCACATTCTCTATTAAACTCCGGTTATTTGTGCTCAAGTACATTACTTTTCTATTGTCGTTGTAGGCGGACGAAAATGATTTATTACATGGTATATAAAAGGTTCCGTGTCTTCGAAGCTTATTTATTGCCGAAAAATTCAAAATTTATCTCAGTTTCTTCTTTTTTTTTGAGGGGGGGGGGGGTAGTTTTTTTCATTTCGCAGATTACTTTTGTAGTCTTTCGTGTTTTTCAAATATAAAATTAAAGTAATATTCGAGCGCGAACGTTTGCAAGATACAAAAGAATGCCCTTGTAATAACTTATATTTTTAGAGCGCAGCTCTTTGGCGCCCGTTTCCAGCTTGAGCGGCGTCGCTGTTGCCGTCGGCGTAAACGTAAGGTCACGTAACCCCCTCAGGTCACGTGACCTTCCCAGGTCACGTGACCTCCCCCAGGTCGCGTGACCCCCCCTGAGGTCACGTGACCCCTTGAGGCCACGTGACCCCTTGGGGCCACGTAACCCCCCCCCCCCCAAGGTCACGTGACCCTCCTGACGTCACACGACCCCCCTGAGGTCACGTGACCTCAAGGAGTCACCTATCCCTCAGTACGCTTCCATCCTCCTCCTCAAGAGCTGCGTTCTAATCCGGCGTTACAGGGAATTGTAAACGGCTTTCGTTTTTTGTTGTTTTTTTTCATCCGGATTTAGCGTTAGTGCCCTTGCCATTAACAATACTAATCTGTCCCACGACAAAGCTTCCAAACAAGTGTTGCAAAACAACTACAACAACAACTGAATTACAAATTATAAAACCCAAAGAACGGAACTCGATCCATAACGCTTGCATGGCAATGCAACTAACGCTGCATTGACAAATTAGCGGGTCAATTAGAAGGTAAACGCTATTTTGAATATGGTTTTGTAGAATATTTTTTTAGAGCGCAGCTCTTAGGCGCCCGTTTCCGGCTTGAGCGGCGTCGCCGTCGCCGTCGCCGTCGCCGTCGGCGTAACCGCGCGGTGCATTATGGGTAAATTTCCCCGCTAAATCTAGCGGAAAAAATTTCCCCGCTAAATCTAGCGGAAAAAATTTCCCCGTCAAATCTAGCGGAAAAAATTTCCCCGCTAAATCTAGCGGAACTTTCCCCGCTAAATCTAGCGGAAAAAATTTCCCCGCTAAATCTAGCGGAAAAATTTCCCCGCTAAATCTAGCGGAAAAAATTTCCCCGCTAAATCTAGCGGAAAAAATGTCCCCGCTAAATCTAGCGGAAAACATTTCCCCGCTAAATCTAGCGGAAAAAATTTCCCCTCTAAATCTAGCGGAAAACTTTCCCCGCTAAATCTAGCGGAAAAAATTTCCCCGCTAAATCTAGCGGAAAAAATTTCCCCGCTAAATTAGTGAAAAACTTTCCCCGCTAAATCTAGCGGAAAAAATTTCCCCGCTAAATCTAGCGGAAAAATTTCCCCGCTAAATATAGCGGAAAAAATTTCCCCGCTAAATCTAGCGGAAAAAATTTCCCCGCTAAATCTAGCGGAAATCTTTCCCCGCTAAATCTAGCAGAAAAAATTTCCCCGCTAAATCTAGCGGAAACATTGTGGTCACGTGACCTGGGGAGTCACGTGACCCCCTCCCGAGGCCACGTGACTTCTGAGGGAGCACGTGTTTGCCCCCACGTGACCCCACCAAGGTCACGTGCCCTCGGGGGGGGGGGGGGGGTCACGTACCCCCCCCCCCCCGAGAACACGTGGCCCTCAGTACCCTCCCCTCCTCCTCCTCAAGAGCTGCGCTCCAATTCGGCGTTACAGGGAGTGGTAAACGACTTCCACTTTTTTTCCGTTGTTGACAACAAGCAAATTCTGAATAAATAACCTTGAGACTTACATGGCTTCCTTGCTTTGTAGGACATTACTCTTTGTGACTTGTAGTCGTAAATGTCTGCGAACTCAACACCAAGTGATACAGCTATAATTTTTGCCCGCTGGTTTTTTGTGTCAAAATATTCTTCCACCCAGGCAGGCTGTCTCGCCGACATCTCTTGGTATTCGTATTTAAGGATGTAACTATGCCCGACAGGAGGAAGAGGGTTGAACATAGAGAGCCATCCTGAAACAAAAACAAAAAAGACGGGAACGCAGGGAAGAAGTTAATGATTGAAGTTTGGGCATAAAAGGCTGCGTGCCCATATATCCCGAATGAAGCAGTTAAACAGGATACGAAATTTATCTTTTATCGCAATTTAGTATTGCCAGCAACTGTAACTGGTAAGTTGGCGCCACATGAAAGTGCATTCTATATCGATAAAAAGTCATTGAAATAATAAATTAAAATGTAAAACGAGTAACTGCTTGAGCTAATTTTATCGTAATAATCCCGCTCAAACCTAAAGCAATATTTGTCTAGATAATAATGGTCCTTAAATTTATGTTAAAATGATTTGCTAAGCCTTAATAGTGAACCTTCAACCCGTTTTAAAATCGCTTTGGTATTACAATAAGCGCTCTTGTCAACTTTCGTTATCAGATATTTTATGTAAATGTATATACAGTGCTCTTCAAACTTAGCGCCGCCACTCGGTTACTAAAAAATTGATACATTTCCAGCTTTTCCAAGCTAAATTAGTCGCTGCACGTGGAATGTATTCACCATGCTAGGTTGTGATCGGGGATAAAACGACATCACGTAGTCAGAGCGGCAGGTCCAGCAATATCACAAAAACTACGACAGATCATCTCAGTTGATTTGGGGAACACAATACTTTCCCATGATCTATACAAGCTTTTCTTTGTTCTTTTTTTCTCGAGAAGGAAAAGCGAAGATAAAAAGGGTTAAATGAGCCAAACTTCTATATAGTAACCCTATGCCTGGCGAAGCGGCAGTTGGAAAATGGCGAATTTTCGAAGTAATCTCTCAAGGTTCCAGCAGAAATAATTTTTTTGGGGGCCGAGTGCTGTAGTTTTTCTACATAAAACTTTAGATGTAATATCTAGAAATTGCTGATTTTCCTGACTCAATTCAGGGAAATGTTTTTTCTTACTTGCGATTTCTTAAATTTCTCAAAATAAGCCATCTGGACGTGTGTATGATAAAACGAACACTGAGTAAATGCCAACAAATGATTAACAATCTGGCAGAAACAAATGACTACGGCCTAGCTTTGCATCCTAAAGTGGAACTTAAAATATATCATATTTTCAAATGTACAGCTCTTCATACAAAAAAAAAATACAAAAAATATTTAAAATTGGTCTTTTTAAGCAAATAGATTTAAAATTTGTACTGATACATGGTTCTACCTATAAACTTTGAGTGTGATACTGCACCACAAAAAGACAAATTTGTCAGAAGTTTCAAGACACTTCGTTCATTGGTCTATTTATACGAATTTATTTACATCTGAATAGCGCTCGAAAACGCCATGGAGAATACTGACCTGGTTTAGGCCGAGACCACGCAGCGAATCGAGGACCAAACCTTTTGCACTCTCCATCAAAATCGTGGATTAAAGCGTTGGTACGAAAGGTTGCCATATATAATAAAACGCAGGCAACACCCCTGGAAGTGAGAAAAAAGCGAATTTATTAAATAATGCATGACATATAAAGCAAATGGCCAGAAATATATAGTTCTGGACGGTGTTTGTTGAAAGCGGTTAATTTGTTTCGTTTTTGTCTTATTGGCTTCGTAAAAAATTGTGGTTCAAACTGCTCCCCTATTGATTTTTCAGGTTAACCCGCCTTGCTATCTTGTCGCCCTGGCCTGGACTTTCTCTCTTTGAAGTTATAGGCGCCTTTGTTTGGAAGGGTTCCTGCTCAGCCCTGTTTTCTTGATCACCGAAGAAAACGCTTTCTTTCAAAGCTTTCGGGCTGTTCTTCGTTCCGAACGTGCGCCTCTTCAAAGATGTGGTTTAAGAAACAAAATTTTTATATGTTTAGAGTTTCTTATATTTGTTTATCCTGTCTGTTATCACTCTTTAGACTTGAACGTCTGTGCTTTACTAGCTTGCCTGCATATTCAGTTTGAAGAAGGAAGACTGAGTTCTCGAGCATTGTTCTAATTTTTATGCTGCCTGTGCAAAGAAAGTTATCACTGACGGGATGGTAAATGAAAGTGATTGCTGAATATGATTTGCTAGCGGGACTTCATTTTTATAAGAAACAATCGAAGCATTTATTAGCGCACGCAGATACGTGCTTGGATTAGAAGTTGGTCCGGCTGAATGCAGCGTCACAAATCTAGTTTATTTTATATAAGCAGTCTATGAAACAGAACTGGAGATTATCGTGATACAAACTAATTCTATAGTATCTTAGAGATACGTTGGAATATCTGTATCATTTACATTGGAAGAATATATGTCTATGTGTGTAATGAAATATATTTACCATGTTTTGATTCTATAGCAATACTCTGCCAGGCTCAGGCATCTCGTTACGTTTGCTATAGAATAAAAACTGTCCCTTTTTTACAATAAACAGAACCCTACTTTGTAGTAAAAACCAGTCGCATATTCACCTCTATAGATGAAGGTCTAAGTGTAAACAACAAATGCAACAATAAAGTCCTACGAAGAATCTTTACTTGCAAGTATAGCAGAATACGTTATTTCCACAAAGCCCTCCACTACTTTCACTTTAGCTTATAAAATTCAAAAAAAAATTAAAGTGGAGAGGAGAAAACCACCAGTAAGGAACAGTGGCGTACTTGCGACAGCTCTTTTTCATCTTATGTTGGAACAGGTTCCGTGCAGACTAAGGTGACTTAGTGCAGACAGGTTCACTCTTTTCCTCGATCTATGCACTCTGGGTTGCTCAGAAGCACATAAGGTGAGTTTACATGCTTGCGCTTGCTTACGACCGGGTTCATGTGACCTCGCACGACGAAAGAACACACTGGTACGCCGGCGCCATCTATAAGGGGTCCCTGGGACTGCATTTCACAACAGCAAATGTTTTGCAATATTTGCAAAACCAAATCTATGAACTGTCTATAAGGCAAGGTCGTTTATAACATTGCCAAAGTTTTAAGTCAACAAAGAAAAAATACTCCGTTAAAAAAATGAAATATTTTCAGATGCCAAGTGTCCTCTGGCCACCGGATAGACGGTGCAGGGGTGTTCTTTCGCCATAAGAGATCTCAAAAGGTTTTAAGCCACTTGGTCGTAAGTGGTCGCAAGTGCGTGAATAAGCCTTTAAACGAAGGTTTGAGACGCCCCCTCGCAGCAAAGCAGGGTTATTTTAGGCAGACGCCTGTTATGAATTATGGCAGGCAGTCGTTGGCCTCAACTACTTCTGTGGGTAAGGGGGGGTCATAATTTTAGCGGCATTCGGAATGGTGGTTCCGAATAGTAGAGGAGCCTGGGGTGAAACAAGTGCCTAAACTGACACAGGAGGAGGAATACAATCCCTGTCATTTGCATTCGTCACAATCTGCACGTTGCAACCCTCTGCCAATAGGGAAAAAATGTGATTCAGTATGTATCTGTGTCTGTATTCGGAATTAGTTTTTTTACCGTTTCCGTAGAAGTTGTTGATAAACCGATGAAAAGAAGAAGAGAGATACCATCATTGCAGACCTTAAACAAATTGGCTACTCTGGTAGCTTCATTGAACGGATTGAGCACATTGAAAGCTCTCCGCAGACAAAACCGGAGGCCAGCAGAAGGAAGACAGCTTCATCAAGTCGCGCGAATCAGCGCTCCTACGTAAAGGGGACCAGCGAAGCGCTGCGGAAAGTAAAGGGAAAAACATTCTGGTGGCCCACAAGCCCGCGTCCACGCAGGGAAGGTTCATGCCAAGACCCAAAAATCGTCTATCAAAAGGAAAAGCTCAAGGCGTTGTTTACACCATTTCAGGCACAGAGAGCACCGCAACATACATCCGTGAGACGAAGAACTTTCCCGAGCGAACTCACCAACACAAGAACGACGTGCAAATGTTGGACAGTAAGCGCAGCGCGCGTAGGGTGACCACCCGTCCTGCATTGAGGGGTCGTGTCCCGCGTCCCGGGAGAAATTCCCAAATCTTCAAAATGTCCCGCATTTCACACTGTCGTAAAATTCGCTCTGCAACTCATTGTGCTGCCCAAATAACAGGGCACGGGGAAGCGCGGGGGTCACTGGGAATCGTATGAATCGCAATGGTACGCCGATTTCTATCCAAGCATAGCGGGAAGCGCCCGCCGTTTTTGCAGGACAACCGACGCGCATGCGCCGTTGTGCCTCTCCCCTTGGTGGCAAACTATTGTGAGAGAAAAAATTTCTAGCCAACATTTTAAATATGAAGTGCGGTAATTATTTTTATATCGTTGTGTGAATACAAAAGTGTTGCTAAATGTGTGTGTGTGTGTGTGTTTTAAGTGAAGGCGAAAAGGCTGCAACTCACAGCGGTTGAAAAAGCAAATAATGTTAAAAATGTGCGTAGGACCATGCTGAATACCCGAAAAAGATTTACTGCTTCTTAATTTCATATGATGCAATGAGTTCTGCTCCAGTTGATTTTTATACTTTCAACTTAGACACATTTAATGACATAAAGATATATCTCTAAGAGTGAAAATCATTTTAGATGAATTATTGCAATGCGATTTGCGGGTGCATAAACAGCACAAGATAATAAATGTGTCAACAGAGCCTCGGTTCGTGTGGTGTGTGTTCGTAAATTCCTCCCCTCCCCCCCCCCCTCCCCCTCGGTCCCGTGTGTCCCGCATTTCGCTAGCAGAAAGGTGGTGATCCTAAGCGCGCGGCATCGCCAAACATTGCGATACCTTAGACCATCCCATTTACTTCCTGAACGCGCACGTGGTTGACAAAAAGCCAAATATTCGAAAAATACTTTCCTTGGAGCCGTGGCAAATCCACCATACACCAAGAAACCTAAACCGGTTCCTGGGTGCCTTGCGCTTTGTGTACAACCGTCTCCAAAACTAAGAAAATTATTTTTAAACCTTTACACTTTTTATTATTATATTTTTAAGACGAAGAGGTTAGAAATAAGGTGCTTCTGCTCCGCGTGCCTTCAGTCACACTTGAAGAAACCATGCCGGTTTTAAAACGTCGAGTTTCCTTTCGATATCTGGTTGGAGCTACATTTTACGGACATTAGATTTAGATTGAACGGAAATGTATTACCCGATGAACCACCCGCTAACGGTAAGTCTGTCAAATGGCCAGGACATTTTAAGCTCTCTCCTCGAGGTAACTGTTGAGAAAATCTAATATTCTCATTTTTCGTTTAATATCGGTGAATATAGGTTAGCTGTAAATAATTTGCTGTCACGGTTGCGGTTACGTTTTTCATAATTTTGAAATAACGGTTTTGTTCCAGTTATGGATACTGAAAAAAAAAAACCGTCCCCAAACGGTTTTCGAATTTGGTCAGGTAAGGTTAGGTTAGGTTAGGTTAGGTTAGGTTAGGTTAGGTTAGGTTAGGTTAAGTTAGGTTAGGGTAAAGGCTTGTTCACACTCTTGCAACCGATTACGACCAACAGAGACCAGACTGGTTTTTAATCCTCTTATATACGACGTCTTAGAACCAGCTCCGCTGAAGCGCATCCGATCCTAAGACGTCGCAGGAGGCTTAAAAACCGGTTCTGTCTCTCTCGGTCTTACTCGGTCGCATATATGTGAACAGCTCGTTACGGTTTGAATCCCTGATGCCAAACCGTGCTACGAAATAATACGCATAAGTGTTTGGTTAAATATTATACACCAGTGTCTAAAAAAGGTAGGACTTGTATTTGTCATTTTGATTCAGAACTCAATTTATATAAGTTTCAATACTGAACTCAAAAACGACCTTGACTTAGATAAACAAAACGGGTTATGCTTGGCCGCCTACTATGGCGATGACAGTGAAACTAAGGACTAACTCAGCATTGCGTAAAACTTTAAGACATGTTATAGTAGTCACTAAATTCCTCAGTGTTTATTATGTACAGTGTAGAGGACACGATTTTAACTAAATTCAAAATCCCTTTTGACACTTTCATTTAATTTTATTTAATTTCATCTACTGTGGCTCAGAAGAGACGGGGATACGGCAGATAGGCCGAAGGCCCATACCAAATGGCTGGCAACACCCGAAAAACAATGTGTGGGGAGGATGGGGGTAGGTAAACAATAAACACTAATAACAATAACACTATGCACAGTCGGAACGGAACGGAACAGCGCTACGCCGAAGCCTGGGACCTGCCAAGCTAGGGCCGAACACATCCAACTCGAATGTGTTGGACCCCAACCCGGCGGGCTCCAGGCCCCAGCGCAACGCCGGCGGCGCCTCGAGAACTGCCGTCGACCGGCCGCCCGCGCCCCATCCCGCCCCGACTGTACATATACAACACGGATTATGACAGCAAGGATACGACGCAATGAAATTAAACAAAATAAGGTTTTTTAAATTATATATCTTGGCTGATGAAACTCCGTAGCATTTCGTACTTGAAAAGACAGCCTTTCTTCTGAACTTTGATCCTTGAAGCTAAAAAGCTTAAAAGATTGAAGCTTTTTAGCTTAGACAAAACTGTTGCACAAAGAAGAAAGATTTTATGCACGACATCCTTCCCGGTGGTGGCGTTTGTTGAGTTCTGATATATTAACCTAAGCCAATAACTGCCCCCTGATATTAAGCTTCAAAGTGATGTCAAACCTAAAACAAAGTAAAGCACAAATAATTTTGTTTAAAATACGGATACACGTATTTCTTGCGTTTTTAAAATGTCTGATTATGAAAAAATAATAAGACATTAGAAAAAATGAAAATAAAACAGTAGTCTTGTGTCTAAACGCTTCAATCCTTGATAGATCGTCCGAGAAGTGAATTAATATTCCTACACGAGTACAAGAGTGCCAAACGTTTGTTAAATACTTCTTTGGAAATATAAGCTTCTTTGGGGACGAATGTTTAATGACCATAGGAAATTAAAAAAAGATGAGGCTTGAATGGTCGTAAAACTCAGAGTGGAAGTAATGTCGAGAGGTGAGTTATACTTGGCTATTTTTCCCCGCACCCC